GTTACCCGTGCGGTGGGAACATGTCATATACAACAATGGTCATTACATTGTAGACTGAAATTGCATTTCAATAAAGTCATAAGATTTTGAAAAATTTGCGCAGTGTTACAAGACTTTCCTTCCAACCCAGTAACTACGCACTAAAAGGCCGTGACTGCGCTCACTCAATTAATTCCCTATCAAGCTCTTGAAGAGGTCGGACTTTTTTCTGGCTGTAACCCTCGCTCTGGCTGCGACGCAGGCACTAGACACTCTGACAATCTATTTCTCGTTACTTGTGTCTGTTCTCTTGGTTTGTTCCTCCTCGTTGCGTTTTTCGTTTCTCTCGTCTACCTGCTGCTTCTCTTGAAAGCAAGAGAATAAATGGGAAGAAGCAGCGGACAATCTTGCATTGTATCCAGCTGCAAAAATATATGGAGGAATAGGAATCATGATCCTCCAATAGAGTTCCAGAAAAATGAAATAGTTCGAGGGGAATTGCTGTCGGTTTGTGGCCGAAGAGATTTACAGAATGAAGCAATTAGCTTTTATTGCTTGAATCATTTTCTCCTCACTGATTATGATGGGAATCAAAAAGAACAAGGTTCTAAGGAAATCAGCTGTTCCACTATGGCTCACTGCACCTCTGCACCTTGAGCAAAGTCAGGTTCACATTGAGAGACCAGTGAAGGGGAAAAGTAAATCTTAAATGCAAGCAAAAGGTCACTCAATTCCATCGAATTGTTCCTCTGAAATAAATGAGAAATTGAGACTTAAAATCAGGATTTTTACAGGACTGAAATCAAAATTACAGCGAATCAGGACAGAAAACCTGAAACTTAAAAAAGGAAGAGACAATTTAAAAAAATTAAATTTGTCGAATTGTCCGCCACAAGTGAAAAAAATTGAAGATGCAAATTTGATTGAAGGACACTTCTCGACCGCTCAATTACAAGTACTCAGGGGAGGTAAGAGGCCGAAGAGATGGGATCACAGCGAATTGGTGTAGGCTTTGCACCTTAGAGCATTCCCCCCAAGCTTTCACGTAGGTTCGCCAATAACTCAAAGTCCCACTTACTGTGTTAACCACCATGGCCACCTGGTTCAGCAAACTCATAAAATGTGTTCCGGGACTTCAGCATGAAGTCCTCAATCTTATGGCGCATCAAGGTCACATCATGGATGATTTCGGAAAACTGCGTCCTGAGTTAAAGTAAAAATTGCTTCGAGACTCTGTAATGAAGCATCATCCGAAAAGTCATAGGAGCTGTAATGAACCTCTAACGTGCTCGCACTCCATGGAGGCGAGCTGAAGGCGGGTCCCATCCCCATATGGTCTCACTTCACGCACATGCACGTGCCTCCAGTAACTGCGCTCCCTTCTCCGCCGTCACGCGCGTGAGCCACTCGGGCCTATCTGGTTATTCTATATATCTTGTGTTAAAACTGTCTCTAGGAGAAGGGCTGGTCCTTCTGATTCATACTTTTAACAAGTAATTAATTATTCATTAACCGTTCATTCATACACAACCATTCATAATTCGTTCAAAATGCGGCCAGTAGGAGTGTTCTGAATGTGTTGTTCGTTCTCGTGAGCATTAGGCTTTCATTTTTTAGTTGAATACCTCCGTGAAAATGTCTCATGACTGGCCATGGCAAAGAAATAAGCAAAAGTTCTTAAAGAATCGAAAAAAGACAAACGTATCATTAGAAGATACAAAGCCGAAGGCATTAAATGCGGGCGTTACCCATCTAACAATTTATCTTTCTGCATCCCAGGATTCATTGGGGAGGTGGCCGGGGTTGATGCGCTTCAGAGAGAAAGAGTCCTTCAAATCCTGAGCCAGAATGGAGTTGAGTGGGAAGTGGCAGACCACCCTCCTGCAGTTGTGGAAGTGACTGAAAGTGGGGGTGGAGTTTTGGAGTCCCTCTCCCTGTTTCTGACAGGATCTCTGCTCCACTACTCTTTCATGAAGGTCTGTCTCTTGTCCTTTTGCGCCTTATTCCAATTTCTGTAACCACATTTTACAATTCATTTAGCTGAGTTCCATCACATACACAGACTATAAATAAAAGATATTGACGTGGCATTCGAATACACCGATGGACAAAACTGTCCGCATGTTCGGCACCATCCGCATAGGGACCAGTTATCTTGGTATAAGATAATTGAATTACTCTGTGCGACATACCCTTTGTAGCCAAACTCTTCTTCTACGAGTGTATCATCATCAGAATCCATCAAGCAGTTATGTTACGTGGAGCACGACGAACTATTCGAGATTCACGAATTTTATACACTAAGGTTGGGCGAATATGTTTTGTTCGTCACGAGCTTTGATGAGCTCGTGGCCTATAACTTAGAAGCCATCCTCCTCTAGGGCTGTCTTCATTCTTCTTCCGTGGCATTCTTGAATGCAGTCATTGCGAAGCGATGCAACATCGGCAGATAGTCTGTTTAATAGATCCAGAAATAGCATTTTCCTGACCGCAGAAGGTCGAAAGCCGGTCGTCCCCAGAAGCTGTCATCTCCAGACAAGCAGTTCTGCGTCCGTGCTATCACCTCTGGGAAGCTGGAAACAGCCACACAGGTCACCAGCAAGTTCAGGGACGTCAGGAGTCCACGTTAGCGTGGAGACCATTCACCGAGCCCTCTACGAAACTGATTTAAGTGCAGTAGAGAAGAAAGAAAAGCTGAAACTCTCATCCAGCAAATATCAATGCCCGCCTGGAGTTCGCCAGAAGCCACATGGATTGGATGATTGATGACTGGAAGCGAGTCATTTGATCGGATGAGACTAAGATCAGCCGTTTTGACTCAGATGGACGCGCCCGGTACTAGTAGCGTGAGGGGAAACCTTGGCAAGCTTGACACGTCAAGCGGACTGTCAAGCAAGGAGGCGGCTCGATCATGACCTGGGGCTGCATGACGATCAAGGGAACCGACCACATGTGCACGATCAACGGCACCATTGATCAGCAGCTCTACAGCTCCGTCTTGGAGGACGAATTATTGCAAACGATCGACGGGTAAGATCCCGACGTCAACAGAGTTATTTTCCAATATGACAACGACCCAAAACATGAGGCGAAGAGCGTCCAACAGTGGCTGAATCAGCAGCCGTTCGAGGTCCTGGAGTGGCCAGCTCACCAGCAAAAAGTTCCAGCTAGAAACAGCATGCTTTCCATCAGTAAATGTGTGCCACTTCCAGCAGGAACTGCAGCATTTCCAACCAGAACTAGTCGTAAATTGGTATGCCATTTCCAGCTGGAATGAACCAACAGGATCCAGTTGGATCACAGGTTGTCTTCTGCTGCATTTCTGCTTTTCCTGTAGGAAAATGCCAACCTTCTAATTTCCTATTGGAACCAGTTACGTTCCCTGCATGCAATCCACCTGCCGGAAAAGTCCATCACAAACTGATTAAAACCGGTAATATTTCCAGGCTGAACTTTTTGCTGGGCAGTCTTCAGACCTAAACCCCATTGAGCATCTCTGGGCACACCGCAAGTAGGGCCTCAGCCAGTACGAGGAACCGCCCAAAGGTATGATGGAGGCGTGGGAGCGAGTCAAAAGAGAGTGGAACAAAATCGACCAAGAAACATGTCGAAGATTAGCCGAAAGCATGCCTAGACGACGAGAGGCTGTGGTTAAAGCCACCATCATCATCACTAGTTCTATACTGATCACACACTAATTGCACTTTCAATTAGCGGCGCACGATAGTTGCCGTACCCCAAAAGGAGGCACTTCTTCTCGCTATTAACCTCCTTGGTGACGAAGTTGAAAAATACTCGCACTTAGATGTAAATGGCGCGCCCGGGTCTGAAGAGGTTAACCTGGACTAGACCTAAGACCCAGTTCTAAGACTGTCCGCTTACTTTTCACTTAATTTGTCATTGATTCATTTTGCCCAATTATCCATTAATCATCTCAAGTTTCCGTTCAATCTGTGTCATCTTGTGTAAAAGACTACTATTCAACAGTCGGTTTTATGTATCTTCTCAATTTATATCTGCTCCTACAGAACCGGTTGGGAAATGAGGACCCAGAAAATCCTGAACTTCTAATTCAGCAGGGTGCAGATGTGTTCCGAAAGCCAATCGTACTCATTGGGAAAAATTTACAATGTGAGTCTCTCCTTTTCTAGGCTTGGTCGTAGAGTTGCGGGAAAAAAGAGTTGAAAGTGTTAAGGACCGAAACTGCGTAAATTCCTTTCAGCAGTTTATAACAGTGGAGGATCCTTAATTTACAAGTGTAAGTTGAAGTGTTGTCTAAAGTCATGGAAATCAAGAATACTGTAAATTAAGACAGTCTCTAGCTAGCAGCGTATTACGAATATTTTCATCATTTTTGAAGCCATAACTACAACCTTGGGAATGGGATTTGGATTTCATCATGATCTATGATGGAATTATGAGCATGAGGTAACGTCAAGAACGTCATTAGCGCTCACTTTCCAGGGACCTTTCTCCCTCGAGAAGAAGAACATGGACATGAGGACTGGCGGGGGATCCTCCTCTTTGCTGACATGGACAAACAACCCATGAGAATCATACCTATTGTTCCTTCTTACAGTGAGTCACCCTGGTTTTCCTAATTAAAAGCCCATGTATGCATTGCCAAATAATGTACTTTGACCCCTGGATCCCTTTAAAAGAGTGGTTTTAACCCTTTAGATTCATCACGGCTCAGAGCATAGGTGACAAAACGGTTACATTTTAAAGGAACTATGTATCAGCATGGTAAATGCGTTTAGAGCCTACAAATAAAATATTCCGTCTAGTGTATTATTACGTAAGGTCACTAGGACGAAGTCGACTGCTATTTCATACGACTGTTATTACCTACACATGGGCTATATGCTAAAAAAAGAGGTTTCGAATAAGCAATGTGTGCTGAACATTGATATAGAAGCCTTGGATGACATCTCCGAAAATCCAACTAGCCTGATATCTAGTATACGTATAAGCTCAATACATCCTTCCTGATTGTATTAACTAGATGGCCACATGTGATGGTTTCATGGCCTCATAGGTGGCCATTCATATGAATCGGAGGGAGATAAAATGATGCTTCTTTCAAAAGTGAAATGGAATCAATATCTAGATTGGAAAGGGCGCCTGTTAGCGTATGGTCCCGATCACCTCTCACTTAATTTATTCTCTTCCCTTTTCCTATATAACCTCAGTGGAAGGAGACATATGGATAAGGACAGAAAAGCTACCCCCAGTGTATGGGGAGGGCCAGGTCCTGTCCTCCTTGACGAAGCTCTCATTCCGAGGAAGGATGGACGTGCTGTGGTTTGATCATACGGTACCCTTGTTGTGGTCCCTAGACAGAGACCTAGCAGGATTAACCCCTTTCACCCCAGGTGAGCATGGCATCCTTTGCTCGTATTCCCTTTAATTCCATCTTTCAATGCCTAGGCATACGCGGTATAAGTTTCGCATAAGCAGGAGGCAGTCAAAGTGAAGTCGTTCAGAAGGGTATGTAGTTGCCCATCTATTTTTAATATCCAACTTCCTTTGAATATGTACTGATAGCCTTTCTTTGATGGTACACGGTTAGCAAAAAAAGATGCAGCATTTATCTACTAAAGGGTGTTTCAACTGCAGCTCATAATTATCCTTTGTGAGTTATATATTTAGCCTTTTGATAGGTTAAATTTAAAATCCTTTTAAAAAGGTTAAACAATAAATCTACTTGGATTAAGAAGTAACCCTCCAAGTACATACGAGTATGTAATCATGAAGGTGAGAGGCTTTCCTCTGGCCCCATTGTGTGTTCTAGATGTCACTCCTAAAACTTATCATCCAGTCGTCAGGACGATTAAATTAGGGAGGGATTTGGGGACACTCATTTATTTATTTGATTCAGATGTTCCATTGGGATGATGTTTACTCATGTATCAATATGTTCAGGCTACTGATTGCGAAGACAAGCTTATTTTGGTATAATATCCAGGAATCTGTCTTGGATGTGGAAATGATGAATGAGGTGTCTGCGTTTTTTACTACTTGCAATGAGACAAGGCGAAGCACAGGACGAGGTGACATGATTTCCCTGTAAAGGAGATTCCCGCAAAAAAGGGAAGGGCTATCCGGTATACTGTTGGAAAAGGAAGCTCCATAACATCATAGAATGGTCTGAAAGGGAACTTCACATTGCAAAAATATCCTTTGGAAATAGTGTTTCACTGTCATCCATACCTTTTCTTCTGTTTAACACTGAAAAGGTTACATCCTGAACTCTTGATCGGTAACATCCGAATCATATATAGAACTATTTCTTCGAGGGCATCAGCTTCAAAAAGGATACATGCATTCATTTTCTTGATGGTCTATTTGAAGGAATTTATGAGGTTGTTAGCAATTGGTCTTGTACGCATGGTCTACATTTTCATTCGTTGAAGATTTCTTTCGAGGAATTTACGAAATAGAGAAACTGGTTCATCTTCAGGGTGGATCATGTGTCCCATATCGCTTAAAGCATATTCACATATCAGATCAATGACAGTTCAACAACCTGATACATATGACCCACCTGGTACATGTAATGCTTTCCCTCGTTTTTAAAAATGACGATCACTTAAATATTAACTTTTTCCTCCAGAGCTGGAGGAATTATTTATTTATATTCATTAATAACAGACCATTTCTCATTTAGTGTTTCATATATGTAACCTCAGAAGTGATACATAGGTATACCTGTTCTCATGGATACTCATTTATCCACGCTCAAGATTCATGAAATTTTCCTAGTTAAATATGTAACCCTCTCAATCGAAAAGGATATATAGAATTCGTCGCATTTAAAATGACCATCCAATTACCCTTTTAAATGGCGATTCACAGTCATCTAACAGTTTCTTACAGTTTATCCTTCAACTAGGCTGAACCCTTAAACCTTTCTGCTTACAGTGTACACTAGAACAAAGCATTTTGAATGAAATATGAAAGGTTGCTGGGAAAGAAACCTATTTATAGATTAAATTAGATTTCATTCTCTACACAATAGGGGAGTGGGTACAGACTTCGGACGTTTTCTCTAAGTTATTTCCATTACATTTCTTTCAAACGAAATTGGGTCTCGAATCGGCCGGAGTTGCCCATTTTAAAGAAATTGATGAAATGGATTCCTTCGGTAATTCAGCGACGTCCACTTTGTAGTATTATTAGTTGATATTTAGATTTATCCGGAACGGGAGCCAGTAAAACTATTTTCCCTTAACATGTATCCTTCTGAGTAGGATGGATGAGAAAATTCTAGGTCTGAAATTGCTCGCAGGTGCTTCCCTCAGTGGCCCTCATCTCTGGCACCTAAATAGCAAAGTGCCTATACAAACTACGAACATGAAAATAGTAAAGTAGTCGAACACCATTGGGACTTTTCAAAATTCTACAAGAAGGTAACTCGAGGTCTCCAAACACGGTTCGCACACCGTAAAGTTCGCAAACCCGAAAATGTGCAGGCTGTTGAAGCTGCTATCACAAGGAGTCTAAAAAAAAATCTAATCGGAGATTAACCGCTGAAATTAACTTTAAAAGAAACAACACGCGTGTCAAAGAAGGGGTAGTAGTTATTTTCCCATAAGATTGGTGTTCGGCAATCATTATATTAATACATTAGACCCATGATGAAGAGAAACGCTTGTATTTTCAAGTCTAGCCTCAAAGAGACTGCACAAAAACATTCTGAACACAGAATGCATAGTTTTTCCCGCGCGTGGGCGAGTGCCATATTATATCTGAATGGGACAGTGAACGAACGGAACTCCAGAATTTGGAGCTGTTGTGAAATGCGTCCAATAGACATGGCAACGGCATATGCATTTTTAGCCTCAGCCAAAATCCGTTCATTCACAGTTCGTCATCAGAGATCTCAACATTCCAGATCACTGTTGCAGCTGCTAGCAATAGTGGCCGCCATGAAATTTCTCGATATTGGGATTACGTCCGTAGTCCGTCTTGCGATCTGCCTTTGCGATACAGATGCTTTTGTGATACCGTTCTCTAATGAACATGGTCTTGCTAATGGGGTATCGATCGATCATCCATGAAAACGGCAGCCTTTCGCCTTCGTACAAAGAGCCAACGAACTTCTCGAACAGGCGTTTCGTCGTAATGAAACTCAATCATTAATGTAAAACTGGACTGTGAACGTTTTGCTTCCCATGGGTGTCATATCTCAGACACACGAAGCTCCGGGTCTACTGAAGGGAAGTTATGAGTATAAATATTTCAATGTGGATCATTAATACCTTGTATTTCCCTCGTGAATTCAATTTTTGCAGCAATATTCCCAACGAAATCAGTTTCGGCAAAATATTTTGATTAAATTGGATTAAATCGTGATTAAATTATAATTAAATATTCGTTGTTTTGTGAGCCGCACCTACCACTCGAATGCATCGATCAATTGCGCATTGACTGAAAGGGCTGGCTAGGAGATGTACGTGAAGAAAACCATGTCCATCCACCCAATTACTTGTTTCGAAAGAAATCCTAAACATTACGTTTCATCATACTCGTATATTGTTGTTCATCTTTATGGTGCACAATGGCTTCATACGAACCAAAGGAGCTATTGTATTCTATTCTTACTTACAAAATTCTTTTCCTCTCTTATCGAACTTACTTGTTATGGAAAAGGTCTCTACTCTTTCCAGAGCAACTGAAGGAGCACCAGGATCGTAGCTGGGACAGTTGAGTGTCACATTGCCAGCTTCTTAGGGGTGCGTGCACGTGTGCGTGTATCTGTTTAGGGGAAATCATTTTCTTGCTGCTGGTGGGGACGTGGGGATGGTGGCAGCACCATGGGTTCTATGCGTCAGATTATCTACAGGCCTTCCAGAATTGTTTCTCTACATGTCCTGTTACACAACTTCCAGCTGAGGTGCCAGGAAAGTGGAGTAGTGTCCTCCCAAAGAACAGATTGTACGGACATTGCTCTGCTGCAGACACTTTGTTTTTTTAAGTGACATCATTTTCCCTGTTTGAAAAAGAAGAGAAACCTTGACTCTACCTGGAATTGGATTCAGAAGATTGGAAGATCGGTAGTATGCCTTCGCGTATGAACTATAATCACTACTAAACTGAAATCTATTTTTTATGTACATAGCTACATAAAAACAGATCGAATGTTGCAATCACCCTGGCTAATCCCCGTTTCAATGTAGTGGTTTGTGTTGGGGTACAATGCGTCACTCCCACTCAACCACATGACTCATATCGCGCCAAATGTTCTGAGTCTTATCATTGTATCTCATTATTTCCTTCCAGCAATGATATTTTGGGCGTGAAACGAATCTGTTATCGCCTGTTATTATTTTGCGATCAAATATTGTTATTTATTTCCAGATAACTGAGTGAAGTGTATCAGTATCCAATACATCTCCCATGGTGCGAACTATCATTTTTGCCATTGTTTTGGACTTCATTTTAGCGAAGATTACAGGGACGACTCATCGGACCACAGCAGAAACCCATGTTGCCCCGAACGTAGTCATGGTTCTCCATTTTAATTTATGACTACGTGACACGAAACTTGGAAGTTGGGAACTTGGAAACCGAATAGGGCAGGTGATATGAGTCTTTACAAGCAGCGCCTTCCGTTGCTCCAGATGAATAAAATGCTGAACATGCAAGTCCACAAAAAAGTCCCATGCAGCGTAACCCTCTCGTACAAACTCTTGTTCTTGTGCTGTCATTCGCCAATTCATCGTTTGGCAGAAATAAATGTTCACACGGCATCGTGTCTTTCTCTCTCGTCAAACACAATGATTAATCACCCAGTGAGTTTCAGCATCTAAGATATATAGACGATCGTGAGTGATCGTGATGGACTGAGTGACAAACGCTAAATCTAACTATGTTCAAGAGAAGTTATGGATAGAAATCTGAAACTTGGTACAACAGTTGTAACTGTGATACGGAGCTCAGAAAATATCCAACTTCGGAGGTACATGCCCCAGGGGAACACATTTTGGGAAGAGATGCTTTCAATGATACTTGTTCGCTTCAGTCAAACGGAGACATGGAAAGCTGAAACTTGGGATGGACGTACCTACTGAGACACTCAGTTCAGGAAAAATGTCAAGTTTCAAATGCATTCCCTTGGGGTATATTTTTCAGGAGTGACGTTTTCAAATAATTTTCTTTGTCCAACCAAATTGGGCTGAAATAGGAAACTGAAACTTGGCACAGATATGACTGAGGTGAAGGTGAGTTCAGAAAAAAATTCAAGTTTTATGGTGCATACCCTCAGAGCCCAGACTTGGCTAGCTTTCCAAAGATATTTTTTCATCAGGAAAAAGAGTGAACGGATGAGGCTCTGACTTCGTTATAACGTAGTACTATGAGAATTGATTTCAGAAAAAAGTTTAATTTTCAGGTAAACCCCTGAAGGCACTATTTTTTTTGCAAAAGGCGCATTTTCTTGAATCTTTTCTCATCCAATGCAAGAGAGAATTAAAGGCAGTTGAAACTTGTAGCAGAAGTACCTGTTAGATTGCTGAGTGCATATCCTAATTTTAAATATGACCCCTCAGGGCAGATTATGAAGAGATTTGAAGAAGAAATAATCGGGGTCATTATTTGCATGAAAATATTGATTCAAGAAAGTATCTCTCTCGGTACACGATAGGGGCTCTTTTCGATAGGGACATACGAAGGTGTATTATCATACACATACGTACTTTTAATACGTTTTCGCCACTTTTAAAAGAATGAATGGAGGACTGGACAATGGAGCGCCGAAGGCGCGATCATAGTGAGAGCAAAGAAACTCGCTAGTTTTGATGTATTTTAAATTTATACTTCAAAACGAGTAGCGAATACAGGTAAGAACCCTTCATGGGAAGCGCTACTTCTCAATGCCATGAGTTTCTTCTGCAAAAATAATTATTATTGACGGGAGGGACCACAATTTCTGAAATTCGCAAGATGCCTTGCACGAAAACCACACGACTTTACTTTCGAAACTACAGGAATACGTGAATTAACTGATTCACGATTTAATTCAGTCGCATTACACAAAATGCAGAGATGAACGCAACCTTCCCTGCTGAATAAAATTTACAGATTATTATTGATATCATACGGATAATGAATACATTGATCTAATGGTGTCACCCCATCATTTGTAGTGGATCACTATGAATCTCATGGACTGCGATCAAGATAATAAAGTATAACGCATATTATGTGCCTGTCCTCTCGAACCACTTTGTACTCAATGGTGTCGAGGCCCAATTTACTGTAAAAAAAGAACCGGCCGGGATGCATTAGATCTCAAAAAAAGCTGCGACAATACCTGGTGTAAGCATAGCGTTAATGATACCGTTGCTTTCCGGACTTGCTTACACTTCATGTCATTCTTATTCGTGCGTAGGGCTGTTCAATATGCTTATACATACTTTAAACACTTCGGATTCCCATCACCTTCTTGGTATGGTGCAGACTGGGTCGTTACGGAGGAGTGTAGCGCGTATGCTACAAAACGTATTTGGAAGGTGATGAGTGATGTTTTCTAATGACGAATTCTGTTTAATACTGCCAAGTCATGCATTGTCCCGTTTGGCAGCGGCCTACTAGCCAGCGTAAGACCGGTATCTTCTAGTCTCAGTTAGACTTCGTTCCACCTTGAACGGTAACCAGCTTCAGGTATGTTCCTCGCGAATGCAAACTTCCGCATTTGGATACAGACTGTAAAAAGAAGGCTTCACGCACGATATTTGAGGTCTTTGCGTCTCGCCCGACACCCACCATTTTCCCTGAGGCGCCGATTCCAAAGTCGTCACAACGCCTTGGAGCGCGGCGATTGGGCAGATATCGGGGGAAGGGCAAACTGTCTCTTCACCGATAAGGTCCGCTTAGCACTACCACATGGAAACGGGCATTTGCATTGTGGGTACAGTCTGAAGAGCGCTTCAGTGAATCCTTCATGGTTCCAAGTGTTCTTTTTGAAGGTGGGCATATCACCTTTTGAGAGGGATTTGTTCAGGCGACCGGCGGCACGAACCAGGCGATCTTCCAAAGCCAGTTGGGAACTACTCAGCAATGGGTGGATGATATGTTTGCAGGGATTGCCCTTCTCTTTGCTGGAGTGGTCGGCTCAGATTTCATCTCGGTGCACGAAGCCACCAAAGCTCGTAGGTCCCACTTCGTTTGGGTCTTCCGCAAAAAGGAGTGCATTGTTTGCATGGTGCGGTTTACACGTCCCCAGACAGAAACCCTAATTTAAAGAAGTAGGGTGACTCCTATAACAAGAAGCACACTCAAATAAGGGTTATGTATTAAGGGTGAAGTATGAAATTAAATCACAAGTTCTTAAGCAGGGAAAAAAGACAGTTATTGAGGTCTGCGGATTAGTTTCAGCAACTGACTCATCAAATAATCCCTCTCAAGAGAGATTTTTCACTACATATTCGTGGTAGTCCATTGATACTTTACCTTCAGGTAGTAAAAGGATTATAATACCACGTTCCGGTGTTTAAACTCTTCCTTTAGAAGAAGGTGAAAAATAAGTGGTGAAAAGATTAACTTTCAGGCCATGAAGTTTTCATGAAAAACAGAAAAGGAAATGACACTGCCCAGTATCCCTTGCTCTTCACTTTCAAATAACTATTGTAAAGGAGGTGCCACTTATCATGCCACATGTGGGACTTTCAGTATGCTTTATTGAATTGTTATCAGTAATGAAGTGTGAACATTTTGTTTCAGATGTTTGAGAACTGCCATACCCATATGTAGGCAGGTGACATTTCAGCTAACATATTTGATATTATCTTGATGATAATTTGCGTAAAATAGGTATAAAATGGACAACCAATTTACATTCATTTTACGTAAAATTAGCACAAACATTCCACTTGTGATGTGTTTGTGTGTCTGTTACTGCTCTACAGGCCAAATGTCTCAATATTTGAACTGGGGTGTTCACACGAATCTTCCTTCTAATCTGAGTATGTGTGTCTCTGAGAAATGATATTTAAGATTGGTTTCAGGAAAGGGGGTAACTTCCAAGGAATATTGACTTTTCGACTTGTCCCGCCATCTTCAGAATGAACGAGGAGACGTGAATCAACGCGGAACTCGTAAGGGGACGCGAGCCGTGAGACGTGTGGTTTTATGTGTCCGTGATGAAACACTGGATTTTTTCCTGAGTTCGTCGCCATTTGTTATCACATGGGGTCCGGAAGGAACCCCATACTCGATTCCTGGCGCGGTTGCCACATAAAGAACAGTATTGCAGGGAAGGGAGATTTCAAGGTGTTTCTTTTTAACTCTTTACCGAGCTTCTATAAATTTAACAAAGTCGTACCGAAAGGTACTGCTCACCAGACTGGTAGGCTCTATGAACTGTGAGACATACTCGGACGAAGTGGATATCACATGTTAGAGCAGCGAACTGAACACATCGACTGGAAAATTCTGGATCAGAAAAATGGTTCTCTGTGGCTTCTGTAGCTTCGTTGAATACCTTCTTGACTTGAAAAAGTCATTTTCAAGCTACAGGGTGGTCCATTTACACTGCTCACAAAAATTAAGGGATATTTCAAAATGAATATGAAGCGATAAAAAGAAGAAGCATTTGATTTTTTTTATTAAACAAGAACATCAGAAAAGCAAACGAGAAGTGAAAGAAAGTTGTTCGATTATGCAAATGAGATGCAAACTCAATTATCGTGATTGAGAGCAAGTGACATATTGGTG